TATTTTTTTACAATTTTTGTCTGTCTGTTTGTTTGTTCCAACTAATCTCTTAAATGGCTGGACCGATTTTGACGGGACATTTTTTGGAATTTAGCGTAGATACGTGCGAACGTAGCCTAAGTTACTCCTTATAACTATTTATGCGGACGACTGAGGCTTTGAAGCCGGCTACCGCAAGGAAAACCCCAAGCAGCGCCTGTGACTAGTGACACGGGTGTAGGTTTAAAAGGCCCTTTTAGAACGCATTAACACTCACCTTCACTACTTGCAGCTTCCCCCCAGGCCCAACTAAGACCGGGATAAACCCATTTCTAATACAATTCACTTTAGTATCCAAAACACAACTGGTACGCTCTGCGCTCGTCGACTGAATGCCGCGGCTCACGCAACGAAAGAGGATTATTGAACTATTGACCTCCGTATTTATAGACCAAAGTCAGTATAGTAGGTTGGTCTATAAATACTAGATGGCGCTATTTACAATATTCGTAATAATCTTTACATTGGGTACTTCATTAGTACTAAAAACAAACTACCTTCTTTTAACATATCTTTAAAATATCGGATATTTTCTACAATAATGATGTGAATTCTAACACTTATAACGCGTTACTTATAAATTATTTAACTTTACTTGCTGAAGGAGGTTTGTATCGAATATTAAGAAACAAACTACATATATTATAAACGAAATATGTATGTACGTCTCATTAAAATTAAACTAAACTAAGAACACTTTAAATAAAAAACGTATGCACAGTAAGAACTTGAACTAAAAAAGTAATGAATGCGAATCGAACCCGCTACCACCGGATGTAAAGCGGTGTGTTAAACCGCTAGTCCACCTAGGTTGTCAGTTGTTCTTATTCTTATAAGTAATTGTCGGCCTTACTTGAGGTCTTCGTCGGTGTTATGTTTGAGACTAGTGCGTAGATGCATCCTATATATATTCAGCCTTAAACTGTACATCACACTCCGCGCAGTATGCGTCTTCTTCTTTTGAAATAGAAAAAAAACAATATTTTTTTTTTAATGCCATGTGTAGTACCAAGTTAAGCAATAGAGCATCTTTATGGGTACTAGACAACTGATATAAATATACAGGTTAATTCTAGAAAAACTTAGGGCAATTATGTTATTATTTTTTATTGTGGTTCTAGAAATATTATTTAGGGTTACGGTTCCAAAGTTTAAATGAACGAAACAATAAAAATTAACCACAACAACCGAAAAATGGTTACATTTTGACCAAATTTCTAGGTTTTTCTTAAATGCCCATAATTTTCAAATTGCATGGGATAAATTTGTTTCTGATTTTTCACGTGATGGTTACAATCAATACTGTTACCCCGTTTCTGCTTGATGTTGAGTTCTGGAACACCCTGTATAATGTAGATATTTATAAAACTTTATAAGAATATTAAATTAACTTCACTTAGTAGACGAAATCAGTTGATAAACTACTCAATGGATGTCTATAGAAAGAACGCCACTCCTTTAAACTGGGGACTTGATTTTGAAATGTGAACGAAGTGGTTAGTTTTCGGTTTTTTTTACTTAAAATAAACCCTTGACAACACAACCGAAGATTCATTTTTAAGATCTTTAACTCTAACACTTGCCTGTTCGCGGTGCGCCGTCCGTCTATGGAATCGAATCCCCGACTCGCTTCTGTATTTCTTGTTGCATATATTACATTCGAACACTACCGACGTGTGGATACTGTAATAGAAATAATCCTTATTCGCTTACCTTTCAGAGTAGAGTCAAAAAGCTAAATTATTTTTGACGAGTATTTTTCTCGAAGTTTCCTATGTATTCTAAATTGCAATTAAATACATTTTTTGGTATGTGAATAACATAACAAAAAATGTATTTAATTGCATATACATCTATACATATAAATAAAATTGGAATGTGCATACGAATATAAATACGGTACATACACTAATATAACATTTTTTTACAATTTTTGTCTGTCTGTTTGTTACAGCTAATCTCTGAAATGGCTCGACTTTTTTTGGCTTAGGCTACTTTTATTTTAGAAAAATAAAGTTAAATTCCACGCGGACGAAGTCTCGGCCTTATTACATCAGATTGATGCCAATAAAAGTCCCGTCAAAATCGGTCCAGCCATTTCAGAGATTAGCCGGAACAAACAGACAGACAGACAAAAAAATTTTAAAATGTTATTTTGGTGTATGTAGGGTATTTATATTAATATGCATGTGGGAAAAACTGATTATTTCAATATTACAAACAGACACTCCAATATTATTTATATGTATATATTATTAGCAATTGTCAGATAAATTTTCACAGCATATGTTTCTTCAGGTCTGCGTTGGGTCCTAACACACCTTCTTACAAATGGGGCACTTTTTACGAGCCTTGTGACTGTTACGCCGATGTAACTGATACAGTTTCTTCGTTCTGTGAACAGATAGGTATTTGGATGATGATGGCGTAATGGCGTGATGGCGTGATGGCGCACCATTCCATCTGTACATGGAACCGAGGATGATAACATGGTAATAATAATGTACTCTTCATTTAAGAAATATAATAAGTAGTGGTTTCAGACGAGCTTCCTCCTGCGTACACTAAGGTTGAAGAACGAACTACCTGCCGAGGTTTCTCGAGAGACAACATCATGGGGTTATCACGAAGGGTATAGGTATATATTAAGGTTTCTTAAAAGTCTGCAACGCGCACGTGAAACCCCTGGAGTTTCAGGCACCCATAGACTAAGGTAACCGTTTATCATCAGATTGGCCGTAAGCTAGTTTGCCACCAACGTGGTATAAAAAAAACTTTCATACGTAGATTGTCATCTACGTAGTATAAATAAAAAAACCACTATATTTTTGTCACATTTGTATTTAATCCGATAGTCGCGGGTTCGATTTCTTGCAGGGTGCAAACATTTGATTCATGAATATGATTGTAGGTATTGACTGGAACCGCCGCTGGCACACGTGGCATCGTGTAGTGCTGTTCATATATACGGGCGATGTCTCCATCTGGTGGGTCGTCCACATGGAAAGTGTTAGAGTAACAATAGAACCGAGGTAGTTACGGACTGGAACCGGCGCTGGCACACGTGGCAGGTGTGTCCGTGCTGGCTGTGGTCGTCGCGGTGGTGCCGCACCACCAGCTCCTCGCTGTGGAACTCCAGCTCGCACACGACACATCGGTAGCTCCTGTTATATATAAACTAAATTAGTTGGACCACTACAAAACCCTCAACCACACCATACCGCTCCAAAGCAACGTTCCCAGTCGCCCCTCCGATCGATGGCCAGTCCAATTCAAACGGGGATCGAAATTACGAAGCCTGAGCTGAGGTTCAAACCCCTAGCAGTGCCCTCAGGTTAAAGTCGTATCTGTCAGGCGGTAGTTAGCTTTCAGCCGCTCCATAAGTCCTTCCTTTGGTTTGGAGTGGCATCTGCATTCGCCCCCTATCGTCCGGTGAAGATGTAAAGCCTAGCTACGGTTAACAGCATTCACATAGTTCGAAAAAAAAAAGTAAAAAATAAAATAAAATATTAAATCGAATCTATATACTTATATAACACTACTTCTTAAGTAAGGATAAGTTAATTCAATTGTAAACTGATCAATTGTAAATTGTAATTGATCATGTATATTTACTATTTTGTTTTCTGTTAATTAAAAAGTATAATTGACAGCCTCGGTGGTCTAGTGGTTTGGCGCACCGCTTTACTATCCGATGGTTGTGGGTTCGGTTCCTCGCACGGTATAAACATTTGTATTCATGAGTATAATTGTTTGTAACGGTCTGGGTGTTTTCTACATATGTATAATATGTATTTATTTACAAAAAAAAATATCCAGTATCCATGTATTTACATCTAATACCCATAACACAAGCTCTGCTCAGCTTGGGACTAGATGGCGCTGTGTGAATTGTCCTGAGATATTATTATTAAATTAAATATAGGCATAGGTATAAAAAATATGACAACTATAAGAGACAGAAAAGTTCTATATATGAAGAAATCCTTACTAATATTATTAATGTGAAAGTAGGGATGTTTGTTACGCTTTCACGCAAAAGCTACTGAACCGATCATCATGAAATTTTGTACTCACGTTCTTGGAGGCATTAGAATAAACATAAGATACTTATTATTAAAAAAAAGTGTCTTTTTATAGAAAGAAAAAAATAAAATATCAACATTTTGCTACTTCAGCGCCATCTAGCAGTCAGTAATGAAATTATTTAATGGATTCAATACAAGCGAAGCCGCGGGTAAAAGCTAGTATTTTTATATTTATAATTTTCTCTTACCTATAATGTGTTGTATAATGTTCCTCTAATTCAGATTGAACGAGAAACCTTTGGGTACAGATGGGGCAAACAAATATACCGGCAGTCTGAAAAAAAAAAATTGGAGTGGCAAACAAAATCACTACTCACTTAATGGTAAATGGTAACAGTCGCTATTAATTATTATTCTCTCTCATGATGCTTTCAATGGTGTCAATTTCTTGGACCTCTATGGTCTAACATTGTAGCACACCACTTTACGTCCGATGGTTACGGATTCGATTCCTCGCACGGTACAAACATTTCTATTCATGAGTATGACTGTTTGCATCGGTCTGCGTATTTTCTATATATATTAAGTATGTATTTACAAAAAAAAAGTATATTTATTAGTTGTCTAGTACTCATAACACTGCTTAGCTTGGGACTAGATGGCGTTGTGTGAATTGTCTTGAAATATTATTATTATTGTAATGCTGGTTGTTAAAATGTTATGTGCTGTGTAAAACTAAGTGTTATCCAAGATTTCATTTATTCAGTATATAGTGACAGTTATTAAGATAATTCTCTTTATTTTCTTCTGTCTCTGTTATTCTTCTGTTTTTCTGTTCACAATATAAAGAAATTTTTTTTCAATTTTTCTAACATTCTCTTCTATTGGTGAATAAAGTTAGTAAAGAAAATTACATACTTAGTATACCTTTTCATGTTTCTTCATATGGTGATTGAGGCACTTCTTATTGAATATATTTCAACACAATTCCCACACTTTAATGTGCATTTAATAAATCTGCTGCTCTTTCTTCTACTCTCTCTGTCATTTATCATTTCTTCTTCACCCATAATTCTTACTCTGTATATATTCCGATGTTCATTTTCATTGGAATTTTTATTTTCACCTGTAAAATATTTATGTATTTTTAAAACACAGAACGTAAAGTAATTTACAAGCTAAATTTGGAGTGGTTTGGTCATCTGTTGTACAACAATTTAGCTGAAGACTTGCAGAGAAGTTTGTTGACCCTAAATAAGTAAATGCTGTGTGGTCCGCCTGCAGTTAAGTGGAGTGACGACATATATAGCATAGGTTGCCAGTAACAACTGGGAGAGAAGGGCTGAAGATCGTGCCTTGAGGGACACCTTTACTTAAGTTGGGGACAACCATGAAAGTCATGTGCGGGTAACTACTGGGAGAGAAGGGCTAAAGTTCGTACCTTGAAGGACATCATGTTTTTACAAAACAAATCCAAGTATTTATATCAGTTGTCTAATAGCCATAACAGAAGCTTTGCTAAGCTTGGGACTGGATAGTGGTATTTGTGAATTGTCCAAGGATATTGTTGTACATATTATATATTATACAATCTACCTTTGTAAACCTTACAGCTATAGTTTACCCATACCTTCATTATCTACATATACAACATATATTTCATCATCATCAGGAATATCAATTCCATTGATCTCCACTCCATGAGACGACACCTCTTCTGCTATACACGACTCTGTTCTTTCTTCAATACCAGGTAATGTTAGATTTGACTGATGAAAGGTAGAAATGAAATCTGGAACCGCAGCATCTAGTGGCTTTATTCCAACATTTTCAATGTTTCTTTGCTGCAGCTGTGACAGACTCGGTATAAGAGTCTCACCCTGAAATTTGATTTTTTAATCTATTTTAATTGAAACTGCTGATAAACCATTATCCCTGATAATAATAATAAACTTTACTGTGCATAAAACAAACAAATTATAATATTTGTTTGTTTTTATTTTAATAAATATATTTGCAATAAAGAGAACTTAATATAAAAGTATGGTAACAAAAGATGGCCTTATCGCTCAAAGTATTCTCTGACAGACACTCTGGTGCAGAAGTTTTCAGTAAGAGAAGTCTGTTGCTCTTTTGATTAAATATTGTACAACTTTACATGTTGAAGTTAAACTTGTCAAGAATACAATTTACCAAATAGCATGTATTCTTAATACTAAATATGTTGAGTATGAAAATAAATCATTTATAGTGAACAAAGCAGACCACTTCCAACATGTAGAAACTGTTCATCAATTAATCTGTTCAGTAATTGCATGTTGAATCGCAATATTTGCATGTCGGAATCTAAACTGGTGTTCTGGTATGATCTACTGTTCTTCTAAAGTTGGTGTAATCCGCTTATAGATTATCTTTTCAAATAGTTTGGATAGCAGCGGTAGTAGACTAATTGGCCTGTATGATGTTATATCAGTAGGTAGTTTAATCTGGCTTGGCTATCATGTTTACTATAGAGACCTTCCAGAGCATTGGGAAATACTTTAGGCGAAGCAGAGCATTAAATAATATTGTCAGCAGAACTATTGCTTTCCTTGACACTTGTCTTAGGACCTCTACTGTTATGAGATCATATCATATGAATATATATTGACACTGACAATTTGTACTCATAACCTTTGAGATTGAACTTCGGTAATAATCTTATGGAGTATGTATGACCCTTAAAGATGATGATAAATTCTCCCTAAATGAAATTTAAAAAAATTTAAAAAAGTACAAGGTCATTTGAAAAAAATTAGAACTGAAATTCTTATCAGTTCTTCTCAGATCGTAAATTTGACATATATTAAGAGTCTGTAATAGACCTACCTGAGAAAAAATGCATAGTAAATATATGCCGGGTTGCGGGTGGTACTGGATGAGAAGGGCTGAAGATCGTGCCCAGTGGTATGCCTTGGGCCTATAACCAGTAGTGGACTGCAGTGGGCTGATGATAATGATGAGTAAAGATATTTTGATTTGATTTTATTGATAATGTACTAACCATTCTAGTTTTAAACAGACTTTTGATGATTGACTGAGCCTTCAGTACTTTATTTCTAAATGATACAATACTTCTCACATTAGCATTGCACTCCCAGCACACATTACAGGTGTCTGAAAACTGTAAACAGAGAAATTAACAACAATAGTAAATAAATAACCCTGGATTGTCCAGAGTTATTTATTTGACTTGAATCCCTTTGTATCATTTGAAAAGCCCTTGGGTAGATCCGCCCCTGTATTTTGTTATCTGCTGCTACTACTATAAAAAATATAATTTAAAGAAAATAGCAAATACCTTTATTTTTGAAATATTTGTTATAATTTTTGTGTCCACAGCAGGACGAAGCTTACGATCTGTACTCAAGCATATAACGCATATATTATATTTATTACAAAATGAGTTAATTTCCATCATAATTGTAGTAGCAATGCAAAACTTTGCAAAACAATAACAAACATGAAAATGAAAATAATAACAAAATAAAAATAATGTTAAAGATAAAAATAATAGTCCGTTTACATTGTCATAACTCATAACCAAAGAGCAAGTAATCACTACGCCCATCGCATCTTGTAATGTGGATGTAAGTTGGATCTCTAAATTAATCTGTGGCATTCTGAATAATTATATATTTTTTTATTATCATTTACATATACATTCGTCGTTTCTCACTAATAAATTAATAATAATTTAGTGTGTATGTGCCTTTAACGTGAATAAAATTTTTATCTATCTATCTAGTTATATAGCTGAAAGAGTTATTAAAGTTGATACTATACAAATCTAAATATCTCTACCTTTCAAGCAAGGGAAATCCCCTTGTTATGAGAATAAATTCTTATTGTACACTAAAATTATGGAGGAAATTAACTCATTTTGTAGCAGATATAATATGTACTATATGCCTCAGTACGGAGCGCAAACTTCACCCCGCTATCGACACAACAATTATTACAGATATTATAAAAGTGAAGGTACGTACAAGAAATTTACGACCGTTAAATTTTGGTTATTAAACTGGTTATCAACAATTGGAACGTGTGATCATATTGCCGGCAACTTAACCATGGAAATTATTGTGGTTAAACTAAGTTATTTACGGAACTTTGTCCTTACTACTAACTGGCGAGGCACCAGTAGAGCATGTTTACTGGTGCCTCTCCATTGTACCATTCCATTATCGCCTCTTAAAAATATAACCTAATACTCAGTGCATGTAATAATAATAACCCGGAACACTTCACACAGCGCCATTTAGTCCCAAGCTAAGCAGAGCTTGTATTATTTGCCACTGTTTTCTGTGTTAAGATGTTCCCAAACCCTGTGGCCATCTTCCCATCTTCAGAACTACCTCTTTCTTTTCTCTGTTAATATCTCTGTTTGCAGTTTTCAGACACCCATAATGTATGCTGGGAATGCAATGCAAATGTAAGGAGTATTGTCTCATTTAGAAATAAAGTATTGAAAGCTCAGGCAATCATCAGAGACCTACTTAAGACAAGTATGGTTAGTATTTTTATTATATTTCATAGTTCATTTTGTTGTTTATATGTGTCAGGGTGACCGGAAAGTAATGTAGTTTTGTGCATATCAATGCTTGATTGTCATTTATCAGCTCATTGTTGTGTTTAGAGGTGTGCAAAGACATTGTGAGGTTATAGTGAAGTTGTTACTTATGGATAATCAATATTTTTTTTTTTTTTATTTCGCAAACACACACTGACACATGCAGAAACTACATTCTGGTCTTCCTAATATGTATGTATAGATATAAATATACAAGGCTACTTTCTAATTTTTAATAAATAATTTTGAGGGTTGGTATCATTTTATTAATACAAAATTATCCATCTCTACTATTGTTAAATGTTGAAGTAGGGCTCAGACAACTGCTGCATTGCAAATTAGTGCCCCTTTTAATAGTGCAAAATCAAGTACTTTGGTTTTACTGTTCCATCCTTTATACTATTCTATTCTATAACCAAAGAGCAAGTAATCACTACACCCATCGCATCTTGTAATGTGGATACGCTAGTAAGTTGTGTTTCTCTCGTGTGTGTTCCATCCTTTATACATAGAATGATATATCACTTTCTTATTTCAGTGTAAGACATCTATACAAAGTCTTTCTCGGCTACAGCAAAACAAAACTGATAATATCAATATAATGACACCAGAAACTGAAGTAACTAACATTCCAACTCTAGATAGCTCAACACAATCCTATGGGCATACTGAACAAGAAATAAAACCTTCAATAGAAGAAGTAACTCTTAGAATGGAACTAGACATTGATACTCAAGATGATAGAGAAATTAAGGTTTTAGATATAAAAAATGAGAGTTATGGTGAAGAAATAGAGTTAAATGATATTAAAAGTGAAAACCTTCATGATGGAGATATTAAGTTAGAGGATGGCACAGTCGAAGATCATTATGGTTACAATGAATTTAAGACAGGTATTGATACTTTTGCTGTTATAAGTTATGTGGAAGTGTGATACAAATTGTGCATAATATAGCGTGTTCAGGTGTAGTGTAGTGAGTTCACGAAATGAAAACGCAGGAGTTGTTATCACAGATGTAATATGTTATTCCTACATTACATGGTATACAAAACTAGGATAGGAGTACATCAGTAAAACAAACACACACACTCTCAAACTTTCACATTTATAATATTATTATGATTGCTAGGGGTACTCAGGGTTTGAGATCTTTTTTGAAGTGGTATGCAGCAAAAACTAATTGGGAGCCACTGCTTTAGAATATTCTCCCTCTGAAACGAATTTTAGTGAGAGTTAGGCAGTGCCTAATTTAGACAAAAATTGACTGCTTCACTATTCTTTTTATATGGATGATAATAGAATGGTTCACCCAATGGTTTACACTGACTCTGTACCAGTGAAGGATGATAAGCTGAACTTGAGGTTAGGTAACTGACCTAAAGTTCTGAAAGTAAAGCCCGTGATGGTAAATTCACCATGAATTTATCACAATGGTTTACAGGGTGAACCATATGGAGCTCAATCTGACATGGTACATTGCTAACAATCCTGTTCCTTCAATTCACTATTTATGTGCCCAGATTTATTACCTAATTTAGACATACTTCACAGGAAACAATAGCCCAATTTCTGATGAAAATGAAGATAAAAATATATATACAGTAAGATATTTAAATGAAGAAGAAATGATAAATGACAGAGAGAGTAGAAGAAAGAGCAGCAGATTTTGTAAATGCACGTTAAAGTGTGAAGATTGTGTTGAAATATATTCAAATAAGAAATGCCTCAATCATCATATGAAAAAACATGAAAAGGTATTGAATTTTAAAATTACAGGTAATTTCGTCAATCATTCTGAAGGCAAAATGTAATGCAATGTGGACTCTATTCTCCACAATTAGCTTCTCATTTGGGTCGTTGTGCGTCTACCTTTTTCACTATTACCAAGGTTCGAACCTCTAGCGGTGTTCACAGACTAAAATCGTATACCTCAGGCAGGAGATCGCCTTCATCTGCTCCATAAGTCCTTAAGCAGGTTTCGAAACTGGTATAATAGTTGTGAAGTTATCTATAGAACACCCTTATTCAAATAAATTTAATATAAGCACTTGAATAGTCACATTTTTTTTATTCTACCGCTCAATCGGAATACAGACTCATCACAAGAAGAATGAGCAAGAAAATTGTGCAACACACAATTTTCTTTTGTTCGATTAGGCATGCGACAATCAACATAGAAACCTTTTTCTGCCAAATTCAGTATAACGCTATGTATTGATTGTTTCAGTTCGCCGGTGAATTCCATGCAATTCATATAACCAAAGATTTCTCCTTCAAGCGGAATTGGAGAACCATCGTTTGATGCATTATAGGTAAGAGTGATTTTTTTTTCGCGCAACTCTTATATTGTTGCCCGTAGTTGGCCTTTAGAGTTCCACCGCACTATAGGGGGCGAATGCATATGGCAATCCAAACTCGCGGAAGGACTTGTGGTTAACGGTAAAATAAGTCTGATAGTTTTAAGATGTATATTAGAAATTAGATAAAGTACATAGATCACTGAAGAAACAAGGTTAACACACATGTATATATAACAGAACGGAAAGATAGATTTTATAACAATGTTTGGATCGCTATATATGTGTAATGTAGGTCACGCGAAACGATTAATCACAGTAGCGGCGCAAGAGACGTGTGGACGACTACTGCGCGTCGGTGAGGCTCCCTCAGATACGCTGCCCCCGCAACCGGCGGCTAGCGGTGACGTCACGTTTGACCGCGCGCTACTCGGTACTCCACACCACCCTCCTCGGAGACTGAAAGCCCTGCAATAAAGAAATCTGGGAAATGGATTTTTCGGCCATGGCGGGAAATTCTTTGAGTTGGAGGAGGTGGAGAGAGTTGGCCTTGGAGAGTGTTTGAGGAATTGTTAGCGAGGCAAGGTGTTGTTTGTGCCTTATTCTGGGCGTTCTCTACAACCCCGTTCTCTTCTTTTATTACATATGCCGGCTTAACTCTATCTATTGAAACTATAACTGGTCCTCAGGGTGATTCTATAGTTACAGTTTTTGCATTTCGCTTCAAAACCTTTAGTGGACCAGTATACGGCGCTTCCAGTGCTCCTCTTAATGCGTCTTTGCGTAAGAAAATGTGTGTTGCGTCTCGAAGATCTTTGTGTATAAATACTGATTTGTGACAGTATTTTGAAGCAGGGACAGGTTTTAACTCTGCCATATGCTGTTTAAGTTGTGTTATGAAATCAGAGTGATGTACGGTATTTTGAGACGCTTGTTGAAAGAACTCACCGGGTAATTTAATAGGTTCACCATAGACTAATTCTGCGGCTGAACATTTAAGGTCGGCTTTCCAGGCTGCTCTAATTTCTAAGAGGATACTGGGGAGAGCGTCTGTCCATCGTTTTTCTTGGTGTGCCATAATGGCTCCTTTTAGAGTTCTATGTAGTCTCTCAATCATTCCATTGGCAGCGGGGTTATAAGCTGTAGTATGCTTCAAATGGCCCGCACAGCTGTGTTAACTCCTTGAAAAGTTGCGAATTAAATTGACGGCCTTGATCTGTAGTTACAGTTTGAGGACAGCCGAATCTGGATGTGATGTCTCGTAAAGGTATCATCTCTGGACATCGCGTAAACCTGTCAATTGCAGTTAGACAATATCTGTATTCATGGGAAGGTGGTAATGGTCCTATAAGATCGATGTGTATTTGAGAGAATCTGGAATCCGTCAATTTAAAATTTCCTAGCGGTGCTGAAGTGTGACGTTGAATTTTGGATATCTGGCATGGCTGGTATAATCAGCCCAGGTTCGACACCCTACGTACGGAGGACTAAAGAAATCTTTCCGTAACCATCTTTGTGGTTGCTTTAGTACCCGGGTGACTCAATCCGTGTATACTGTCAAAAATAGCTTTGCGTAAATTTTCTACAACGAACGGACGAGGTTTGTCTAAAGAAATATCACAGTATAATTTAAGGTAC